CATGGGAAAAGTTGAAAAAAAAAAATCCTGTGTCACAAAAGTAACTCCCTCAGTGATCAAAAGCAGTTCTATACTGGCTGTGTGTGGCTTGGATTTGTTTTGATGATTGAATATGCCCAGAACAGCTAATTAAGGAGAGCTGCAGAAGGGTTGTAATTTGGTACAGGTGGTAGGAATTTTCACGGATGATTATGAAATTTTATCTTCTATCCCCTGAAATGTAGCAAATATTAAATATATCTTTCATCTGAAGGTCTGGTTAATTCCTTTTGCTGCTAATCATTCATGTGCAGTTTGTGTCTAGGATAAAACCACCAAAGAATATTAATTCATCACCAGCAACTTTACCCAATTTAAAATCATGTGAGTCTTTTTTATTTTTTGGTATTGTGATGCTGTGCCTGTTTTATCTAATGCCCTGTTAACTAATCATGAATTTAAAAGACTAGCCTACTTCTGCAGATTGTGAGTTTTAAACATCAAAACAGGGTCAGAAATGTCTCCATTATCCAGATACCCATTAAGAGCAGGTTTGGTGGGGATCCAGTTATAGTCTGGAAGAAAGTCTTGGATTGTATAGGTCCTAAGCAGAGCAGACCAGATATCTGAAGGTGTATCCGAAGGCATTGAGGGGTTGTAACTCTAGCATCGTGAGGGGAAATAGCAGCACCTCGGTGTACTACTAACCCTGGGCTCATGGAAGACTGTAAGTCAGACATACATTGGGATTGCACATTATACCTGCCACTCTGAATTCATATTATGTCCTGGATGAAGTGATCCAAACTTCCAAGAAGTAAAAACACTTGCAGACATGGAACCTGGACAAACTTTGGAAACCCAGGCAGGCAGATCAACTTTATAATGAAAGTCTGGTATCAACTACTGGGGCTATAAATGCCATCATGGATCCCAAGCATAAACCTGCAGGCCCTAAGTGTCATATTTTATTCTAGGACTCAATCCTAGAATGGACTTTGGAAGCTAGGTGGCTTATGATAATAAAGAAATAAAAACAAAGACTAATGCAGAAGTAGTTTAAACAAAACAATTAGATTGGAGGCTAGGTTTTAGGTCTTGAAGAATTCCCCCAGTTTTCTAGTCAGAGATGGATCAGATCCCTCAAAAATGCAACACTGAAATGCAAACTAACTTTGTACTGTACTATCCTCAAAACTTCAGAATACTATGCAAGAATAAGATTTGTTTTCCTGTGAGTGTGAATGAGTTTGGAGAGTCAGGTTTGAAGCAGGATTACAAATTATGTTGACTTTTTCTGTTAGAACTAACCTTGTCACATCATCTCTGCCATCCTCCCTTGTAAGTTCAAATTGCTTTGTCTTTCTTAGTTATCACTCTTGAACTGGGAACCCAGGAGTACTCCTCCTTCAGGTGTGCCAATTCCAGGAGAGGGAGGAAGCAATAAATATAACTCTACCATTCACCTCATTTTAAAAATTGTGTGACCATTCATTTTCCATTAGCTTTGATATCTCATTCCTTCCATTTGCCTTCCCTTTTGAACCTTAGTTTAGCTTGATATTAGGCTGTTATCCTTCCTCACAATTGACAGACATGTAGTTATTTGCACAGCTACTTACAGTAACTCAAAGGTTTGCATTTGAATGTAAGAATACTATCCAGAGATTAACCACGCCTAACCACATATAAAGAGATGGAGAAGGAGAGGGAGGTAGGAGAAGGGAGGGGGAAAGGGGTAAAGAAGGAAGAATGGAAGGAAGGGAGGGGTAAAGAGGGAGGAGGTAGAAGTTTGTTAACCAAATTTTGTGTCTTCAGGCTGAGGGCCAAGTTACATTTTTATTCATATATTTTTTAATCATGAGCAGCATGATTTCATCTTATTTTAAATTATCAGTGCTTAGAAAAGAACAACCAGAAAAAAAAAGACTGTGAAAGTTTCAGTGAATTCCAATTACTTATGGCTTAACAGCAGTAATTGAAAAGCTAATTTGTTTAGTAATGAACTTTATCTGAAGAGAGAAAAGACAACAAGACCATTACTGAATTCAGCAGCAATGACTTACTCTCTGGTTTCAAGCGAAAGAGCGAATGGAATTTGTCTGAACCATTCTTCAAGTTGATGAATGTTATTCATGTTTGGCTTTTTCAAAAATTACAATACAGACAATGATGTATGGTAAATAATATGGTAATTATAATAATGTTGACTATAAAGAACAAATATTTGAGGATTACACAGCAAGTAAGAGATATAGGGACTTATGGCAAGAAATACTTCTTGGAGATTCCAAGGAAGAAAATACATGATCCTGGATTTCCACCAAATTTCATTCTAATAATGTAGATAGATAAATGGTACACATAAATACATGTCATATAAAGACAAAAGGCATTGATTAGAGAAGAGACACAGTGGTTAGTAGTATGAGAAGGATGGAAAGATCATATGTGATCTAGACTGGAAAATGAAGGATTCCCAAGATTTCATCAAGTGTGCTTGAAAGGATTAAATTGTGATTCTCCACAACAGGAAATTTAGATGCAACCCTTCTGCACCAGGGACATAGGCAATGTGTAGAGGATTTTTGTTTTTGTTTGTTTGTTTGTTTGTTTTCTTTTGTTTTTTTTTTTGGTTTTTTGTTTGTTTGTTTGTTTGTTTGTTTTGTTTTGTTTTTTGGCACAACTGTGGTAATGTAACTGATATTTAGTGGGTGGAAGTTGAGTATTCTGACATCATACCATCACCACACTGCCCCCGACAACAGAGAATGATCTGGCCCAAACTGTCAATGGTGCCAGCCCTAGCTAAAAGAAACATTCTGGTGAGGCATTTGGCTTACTGGTTAAGATGCAGGTTAGGATACTCATAACTGACATGATTCAATTCTAATCTCTAGTTTCCAACTCGTCTTCCTGTTAATGCAGACCCTAGAAAGCCATGGTGATGGCTCAGATAGTTAGATTCTTGTTACCCACATTGGATAATCCAGTCATTGGGGGCATATGGGAAGAAAGAATCATTCCAGGTAGAAGGAAAAAAATTCACAAAAGCAAGGTTTTAGGTACTTTAGTAGGCGACATATGGTCTAGTTTGCTTAAGATATAGCATGCAAGAAAGAACATATGTTAAGTGAAGACTGGAAAGACAGTATATTCTCTGAGTGAACATATTTTGATGCCAAATTCAAGAATTTCCATCTCTTCACTGTTGACCTTCCCAGTACCGCCTATAAACATAAAAATGTTTCATATCTGTTATAATACAATGTAAAATATTTTTTATTACTCAATGTTATTTCAACTTTTGACTTTACTCTTCAAAAATATCTTCCATTTTTAGTATAAAGAATTAAGAGAGAATTTGGAAACATTAGTAAATAACTCCTTAGATATATTTTCTAATTATATGCTGGTTTCTTTCAAACTTATTTATGAGAAATAAGAGATTGTTTCCTCAGATAAGTGCTAGAGTTCTACCTAAGCCTTTCATGATTCTGACACCACTTTACTCCACTAAATATTTAATTATTTTTATGGCACTTTCGTGATTATTTTAATTATATATAAGTACTATGTAATATCTGTACCTGGCTAACAAGTTTTAATTACTCAACATGCAAAACATTCAAGATGAAATGTATAGTCACTTATTTTATTTTCAATTAACATTTTTTAAAAAGCTTTACTGTATCTACCTTAGTAAAATTATCTGTTTATAATGATGCATGTATCAAGCCATGAGAAGAAACCTCTTAAGATCAGAGAAATGTTTTATTAGATGATATCTCCCTCTTAAAAGGTTTGGCCTCTAATTATAAAATTATCTATATGTAAATTATATATAATGTCATATATCTACAGAATCCTCATGTGGCCCATATTTTACCCTTTCAACCACCAAAATAAGTTCTGAAAGTATGTAAATATGATTGGATTTAAGAAATAGTGCATATTTTTGAACATTTGATATTTTATAATAATATTCCTCAATAAATTATTTTAAAACCAAAGTTCAAATGTTGCAGCAATATATTTTTATATAAAGTTAAAACAACATAATTTTAGCATGAAATTATGTTTTACCTTAGAGTCTATTCATAGGAAGTAATAAAAAAAGTTTAAAATAGCATCTATCTCTCATTTTATGTTTATATTTTTATTTTGGGAAACTGTCTTTTAAAAAAAATGAGATAATACTTTGGTACCACTCCTTTTCTGTGAAAATTTTCTGATTGCCTAACAAAGCACTAGGCATTGAGGTGACTATGCTTGCTATCCAAAAGTGCCCTTCAACAGAGGACAAGTGAGAGGAATTACAAAGGGAAACCATAAACTCTATTACATATTTGAGTTCAGAAATTCTGGTATCTAACTCATTTATCTAGTGGTAACACTATTCCAGCACATTTTACAGTTGTGAAAATCTATCATCATTTCCCTGCTCATTGCTTGTACATTCATTCCTTAATCTCACCATCTGTTTCACTGAAATGGCAGACTCGGAGGGCAGGGAGTGTATCTTATCTGTATGATGTGGTATGGAAGTGTGGATTCTCTGTCAGCATTTAAAAAATAATAGAACTTCAAATAGGGTTGATTTAGGCCTCCCTAGTCAGCAGTTAGTCTTGGTGGCATGAATCACTCTTTCAAATGGTAATTAGCACCTGTTACCTTCATCCACAGGTTGGAAGCTGCTTCCACCTTAATTAATTACACCCTTGTGATGCTGGAGATTGTATCTTCAACTCTGAGACTGAGACTGGAACACAGGGAATCAACAGCTTTTCTGATATTTTAAAGCAGATTTTTGGAGAAGAAAATTATAATTTAGGTTACTTTTCATTGAATGATTGAGGAGGTTCTTTAGGAATCCATGTCTCTCGTGGAAAAAACATGGTGATGGCATCCCTTACAGTAAAAGATGCACTTGTCCTTAGCTGCTTCTGTAGTATCAATTCAATATAATCTCAGAGAACATCTATGTTTCTTAATAACATTTTCACTTTCCATTTCTGTAGTGCTTGATGTCATTCTCAGAACCAAAGAGCAGGTGGCATGCAAATTACTTTTAGGTGAGCATGACATTAGAATATAATTCCCCAAATGGTCGCACCACTGTGTAATTAAGCTACAACTAAGTGACAAGTATCTGACATCAGATAATCATTTAATAGAGGAAAATGGGAGGCAGTTTATTATTTTAAAGTGTGTTTTCTTTAAAGTTACTTGAGGATGTAGAAAGATTTTCTTGGCACTCAAATGATCTCAAATGTTTGTGTGTAATTATTTTTTGGCAGATTTAGTATAATGTTTATGGTAGTGATAAATGTTTCCTTAGCAGACATCACTAGATGTTCATAAGAATTGTAGGTGGACTTTCACCTTTGATTTTTCACTGTCAGGGAACATGTTGTCTGGATTTTTATGCATTTTGTTTCTTGAAGTTGAACAAAACATGAGCAAATAGAAACAGATTCTGAAACTAACATTTAAAAGATATATAAAATCAACTTTGTTAAACAGAAGAAAATTAGTAAATGATTTAATGTTCATCCTTTTATTTAAAATATTCCTTCATAATCTATTATGTACAAAACACTGTCCTGCAACAGCCACATACTCTCCTGTGCTAGTCACCCCAAAATAGGTAACAAATTAATTTCATGTCTTTTTTCCATCTTTACCCCTACAAAATTATCCACTACCTTTTGAATTAACTTTTCTTAAGATTTTATTTATTTATTTGAGAGGTAGAGTTATATATATAGAGAGAGAGAGAAAGACAGAGAGACAGAGAGACAGAGAAAGGTCTTCCATCCTCTGGTTCACTCCCCAAATGGCCACAACAGCCAGAGCTGAGCCTATTCAAAGCCAGGAGCCAGGAGCTTCTTCCAAGTCTCCCACACGGGTGCAGGAATGCAAGAACTTGTGTCATCTTCTGTTGCTTTCCCAGGCCATAGTGGAGAGCTGGATCGGAAGAGGAGCAGTTGGGACTCGAACCGGCGCCCATATGGGATTGCTGATACTACAAGCAGACGCTTAACCCACTTTGCCCCAGCACCAGCCCCAAATTAACTTTTCTTAAACCTTACTAATCTCATGTCATTTGCTTCCTTGACTAACCCCTCTTTGTCCTGTCCCATGCCCTCTTCGTTCTCTATCTTTGAAAACTTGTGCCCAATTGCTCTAAAACTCAATTTTTTCATTTGTATATTGACAATAATGTAACAATCATTTATGAATTACATTTCACTCACTTTTGTACATATACTAATTAAGCAGTAATACTTTGTTATTATTGCCATTATTGATATTATTCAAGATTCAACTTAAATATCATAGGTTCTTCTGGGAGGGAGATCCTGTGGTCACAATGAAACACATACAAACTTATGATCACAAATCTAGCCAAGTTCTTAAAGTCTGAACAGAAGAATTAGTGAGCACCTTGAGAATATGGACCATGGGTTAATCTGTTCCATTATTTTCAATCATTAAAACATTCAATAGTCTCTAAATGGTTTGTCAACTAAACAATGCAACAAACACTCTAGAAAATACATGAATGATTGATATTAGTTGAGCCATTTCACTTTCTGTGACTGATTGTAATCATCCCTCTTATCCATTGCCTCTTTTCTAGAAGAGATTCTGAAACATCCAAGCATCTATGCTAGAGTATTTGGGCAGCTCTTGCTTTTTCTACTACTTCCTTGATGTTGGAGCAGCAATTGTTAGGTGGATTTTGCTTCAAATGGTGGGAACCAAGATGCTCTATAATACCATGATCCTATGGTAACAGAAAGAGATAGTGGTTCAAGCAGACAGAGAGATGACAAGTAGGTAGATGATGGGTATTTCTGATCTGTTGGTTTGAATTCCTGCACAAAGGAAGCTGATAACAAGCATACTCAGAATTCAGGCAGGAAAGTATATGGATCCAAGATCTCATAGCAGGTGATCAGGGACCAGGCCAAACTTCTAGTAGCAAATGTAACCTGTAATTCTAGAAGGGTGGCCAATGCAGTGAGGTAATTGTAAAAGAATAAATAAATAAATTGCCTGATATGGAAAAGATGGGTATTCCCAAGAATTTAGTCAAATTGCATCTCAGGAAAGAGTCTGTAGGAACTTGTTTGATATCTGGACAGTCATTTTAGATTTCTAAATCAGGGTTTGACTTAAAATTTTCAGTGACAAAGGAGCTTGGCACATGCTTTGAAAACCAACAACAAAAACAATTAACCAGACAAAAAAAAAACAGTGTCCTTGTTTTGTATGCTTAATTTCTGGGGCCAGTGTTGTGGCACAGTGGGTTAAGCCATAGTCTGTGACTCAGGCACCCCATATGAGTGTCTGTTCAAGTCCTGACTTAGAACTCCATTTAAATGTGCCTGGGAAAGCAGCAGAGGATGACCCAAGTACTGTGTCCCTGCACCGCCATAGGAGATCCAGATGGAGTGCCAGGCTCCTCCAGGCATCAGCACAGCCCTGGACATTTGGGAGTTAACCAATGATTGGAAGATTCTCTCTCTTTCTTTCTTTCTCTCTCTCTCTCTCTATCTCTCTCCAACTCTCTCTCTCTCTCCAACTCTCTCTTCTACTCTTTCTTTTAAATAAATAACCTTGGCAGCTCATGACAAGAGCCTAGGGTGATCACTGATGCCATAAACAAGAGTGTCAATTTGTTAAGTCAACAACAGGAGTCACTGTGCACTTACTCCTCATGTAGGATCTTTGTCAGTGTGCTGTACATTGAGATTTAATGCTATAACTACTACTCAAACAGTATTTTTCACTTTATGTTTCTGTGTGGGAGCAAACTGTTGAAATCTTTACTTAATGTATGCTAAACTGATCTTCTGTATATAAAGAGAATCAAAAATGAATCTTGATGTGAATGGAAGGGGAGAGGGAGCGGGAAAGGGGAGGTTTGCGGGTGGGAGGGACGTTATGGTGGGGAAGCCATTGTAATCTATAAGCTGTACTTTGGAAATTTATATTCATTAAATAAAAGTTTAAAAAAAATAAGTATTTTATATATACTTAATTTCCAATAGCTATGTGAAATATTATTATAATTATTTCTGTTATTCATGATAAATGTAAACATTTACTAAAGCATCCTTTTGGAATCATTTTGTAAGTGATGAAAACCACAAACCTTTCTCAGCAGTGAAAAGCTTAAATATAGGCAAAATAAATACAAATCTAACAAGAGTACTATTTCAGATGAAAAATATAACAGAAAACGAACTGGGTTTATTGGTATTTTACTTTTCACTGTATTTCCAACAAATTGGCATGAATCTCTAAAAACATGCTTGATATTTTTCATTTGTAGATTGTATATAAATATAATTATACCTTATATTTTATTCTGTGACTTGATTTACTCACCAGACATTCTCTTCATGAGATTAATCCAAGTTGGTAGAGTAACTATTGTTACTGATTTTCATTGTATATAATATTTCATTGAATGCCTAGTGAGTTTCTCAATTCTTCTCTTGAAGAGCATGAACATTCTTTTCAATTCTTTGTCACAACTATCAATGTTCTTGTGTATATTCTAATGCACAATTGTGTTTTAAAATCTCAGTCCATGACAAATCTGCCATTAAACCTGGAATAAACTACTTAATTTCTCTAACTTAAAGACTCCTGTGTGTAAACTAGGAATAATAATAGTAGCTTACTGCACAGAGTGTTTGCAAAGAGTAAATTAGATAACACACCCCAAGTGCTTAAGCCAGCACCTATCTATAAGTGCAAAACAAATATTAGCTATGATTATTAGTAGTACTCAAAAGCAGTAGAATTGTTTTCCTAAGGATCGTGGACCCTACAGATCAGAAAATGCTGCATTTTTAAGCAGTGTTGAAAACATAAAAATCATATATTCACTTTGACATTTTCCTTTAGTATTTTAGAGTTCATTGTACTGTTGTGAAAATTAAAGGATACTTGAATGTTCATCACAACTCCCTCTACCATCAGATTTGAACAATAGAGCCTCTGGAGGCCACAAGTCAACTGAAGGGTATTTTCCCTTGGGAAAAGGGAGCAAGTCTTCAAATAAGGTGGGCTTTTGTGCATAGTTTATAGTTTTGATGCCTCTTCCTTATGTGCCCAACTATATTTTCGCATACTGTCTTCTTTTTGGTCTTTTTTCTTATCTCTGAAATAGTATAAAAGAATTTCTTGACTTCATTAGAAGCGTAGTTGAAAGACTTTTTTTTTAAGAATATTTTGTTAAAGTATACATTTGTGTGTGTGTGTGTATTCATCATAGTTCATAACAAAAAAAAACAGCCACATTTATTCTTAAGCCAAAGAGTAATTATAAGCAACTGTCAGATGATTATATCTCAAAGTATGATATGTAAATTTTACAATGCCTAACGAATGGACAGAACTGCTCAAGCCTGCAGATGAAGGCTGTGTTCCTCTGATGTAGAGTCTGCAGTCAGTTCAAATGTTATCAGCCTGTATATAAACAGGACCTCAGAAAAGGTTTCCAAGGTTATATAAAGCTGCTTTCTATATCAGGAGGGCAAATTATCAAGGAATGAATGTTTGCTTGTTTTTTTAATAAATCCAATTTATTGAAATAATTTGCATAATTTACACTCAAGGAAATACACAGCTTTCTTTCAATGTGATGTTGATGAATTTTGAGAAGTATACAAGGGTACTTCAAAAGGTTCATGAAAAATGGCATTAAAAGATAAGCTTTTTTAAAAAGATTTATTTTATTGATTTGAAAGGCAGAATTAGAGAGAAGGAGAGACAGAGAAATTTTCCATCCATTGATTCATGCCCAAATGGCTGCAATGGCCAAGGCTGTGCCAGGCTGAAGCCAGGAGTTTCATCCAGGTCTCCTACATGGGTCCAGGGGTCCAGGAGCTTGGACCATCCTTCAACACTTTCCCAGATGCATTTGCAGGAAGCTGGACCATAAATGAAGCAGTTGGGACTGAAACTAGAACCCTTATAGGATGCCAGAATTGTAGGCAACAACTTAACCTGTTATGACATAATGCTAGCCCTAAAAGATGTTTGAAATCCA